CTCTCTGTAAATCTACCTTTGTTAAAAAAAAAAATCTTAAAAAAATAAATAGGAGGGTTGGTTGGGTATGGGAGGTGGGGTTCAGGGGATCCCTGTCTTCCACCTGTTCTATCATAATCTCTCTTTGCAGGTGCACAGGCAGGAGTCTATGTTCCATGCTAGTGAATGATAAAGATGAACAGGATGCTGTATGGAACCGGGAAAACAATTTTATGTGAGTTGGAAATGACATTTAGGGATCATTTATTCCAATTCATCTTTTGAAAAAAAAAATATTTATTTTTTGTTTGAAAGGCAGATTTGATAGAAGTCTTCTATCCACTGTTTCTAGCCACAAGTTGCTGTGATGGCCAGGGCTATGCTGATCTGAACCTGGAAGGCAGGAGCTTCTTCTGGGTCTCCCACACAGAGGCAGGAGCCCAAGGACCTGGGCCATTAGCAGGCAGCTGGATCAGAAGTAGGGCAGCCAGAACATGAATCAGTGCCCAAATGGGATGCTGACATCACCGGCAGAGGATCAGCCTACTGTACCACTGTACTAGCCCCTTCAGTTCCTCATTCAAAAATGTATCTATTTTCACTTTTATTGAAAGATAGGGGCAGGCACAATGTCATAGCACATTAATCCTGCACCTGTCACACTGGCATTTCATACGGGCACCAGTTCTGGTCCTGGTTACTCCACTTTTTTTTTTTTTTTAAGATTTATTTATTTGGGCCCGGCGGCGTGGCCTAGCAGCTAAAGTCCTCGCCTTCAACGCGCTGGGATCCCATATGGGCGCCGGTTCTAATCCCGGCAGCTCCACTTCCCATCCAGCTCCCTGCTTGTGGCCTGGGAAAGCAGTGGAGGACAGCCCAAAGCTTTAGGACCCTGAACCCATGTGGGATACTCGGAAGAAGTTCCTGGATCCTGGCTTCAGATCAGCATAGCATCTTTTAAAAAGATTTATTTATTTTTTATTGGAACTGCAGATATACAGAGAGGAGGAGAGACAAAGAGGAAGATCTTCCATCCGATGATTCACACCCCAAGTGGCCGCAACGACTGGAGCAGAGCCAATCCGAAGCTAAGAGCCAGGAGCTCTTCCAGGTCTCTCACACAGGTGCAGGGTCCCAAGGCTTTGGACTGTCCTCAACTGCTTTCCCAGGCAACAAGCAGCGAGCTGGAAGGGAAGTGGAACTGCTGGGATTAGAACCAGCGCCCATACGGGATCCTGGCGCATTCAAGGTGAGGACTTTAGCCGCTAGGCCACAGCACCGGGCCCCCCAAAAACAACTTTTTTTTTTAAAGATTTATTTTTGTTGGAAAGGCAGGTATACAGAGAGGCAGAGAGACAGGCAGGAAGATCTGTCTGTTGGTTCACTGCCCAAGCAGCCACAATGGCAGGAGCTGAACCAGGAGCCAGGAGCTTCTTCCAGGTTTCCCACGCGGGTGCAGAGTCCCAAGGCTTTGGGCCATCCTTGACTGCTTTTCCAGGCCACAAGCAGGGAGCTTGACTGCTTTTTCCAGGTAAGCATGGTCGCTGGAATTAGAATTAGCATCCATATGGGATCCCAGTGCATTCGAGGCGAGGACCTTAGCCGTTATGCTATTACACCAGGCCCAAAATAAATTTTTAAAAAATAATTGCTGTCTGCTGGTTTGCTCCCCAAATGCTTGCAATGGCCATTACTGGGTCAAGCCAAAGCCAGGAAGCAAGGATTCCACCTGGGTCTCCCACGTGGGTGGCAGGCACCCCCACACCTGCTGCCTCCAGGATAAGGTCAACAGGAGACTGACTCACCCTGGGCCCACTCCAATATGGGCAGTGGGTGTTCCAAGGAATGGCTTAATCTGCAGTGTCCCAACACCCACCCTCTCAATTAATTTTGGGACTACTGGCTTTTGGGGTGGCTCTCTGATCCGAGAGGATCAACTAGCCAGTTCATATAACTCAGCCCAGCTTCCAGTCTCCTCCAGTGCTGACTTTACTGGGCCACTCCGGAGGGAGCTGCCTTTGGCGAAAATGAAGCTGCCTTCCCTTTAAGCCTGAAGGAGAATGGGGGATGGGGGCAGCATGCCTCAGCTTCCTGCTGGCCCAGAGCACCCCTGGATGGGGGCCTGTGAGGACTTTGGGCAAAGGTCACTTGACACTGAGTTTCAAACTGCAGGAAAGTTTGGTGCTGTGCTGGCTCCAGGCAGCCAGGGATCCAGGTTCCCTGCACTCCATTGCGTCCCTCTGGGAATGTATGTCTCATGTAGGGCAGAAACTGCCACCTGGAGCAACTACAAAGTATAATCTAGGAAGTAACAGGGCACTCCAGCACACTCCAACCAAAACATGGAATCAACCTGGCTTCCATCATCAGATGCACAGATAAAGAAAATGTCACACACACACACACACACACACACACACACACACACACACACACACTCACCTAATACTCATCTATTTAAAAAAAAATTCCTACCTTTTGCACCAAAATGGTTGAACTGGAGGATGCCATGTTGAGTGAAGTAAGAAAAATACTCCATATTCTCCCTTTTTTGTGGGAGCTGAAATTGAAAGAAATAAAGAGAAATGGCCGTATCAGTTTTGCTGCAAATAGTGTTTTGTCAAACTTTAAATCTTTGTCAAACAATTTCTTGACATTTATCTACGCTAGCATAGTTTTAATGATTTTGTGACTCTTAAAGTCTATGAGTAAAATTAAACATCTTTTCATTTGCTTGTTTACCGTCTGCCTATTTTTCTGCTGAACTGTATATTTTATTATTTGTCGAATAGTTTTAGTGGAGAATTATACCTTTAATTGTGCGTTAAAAAGTCATCTCAAAAATAATATTATATAAAAAAACGAGCGAGGGAAATTGTGGAGGAGGACACATGGACGAGCAGGGGTTCTCTGGAATGGTGTGCGTAGGCGACCCAGGGCCAGGCAAGCTAAGGCCTCACGGGAATGGGGGAGTTCAGCCCGCTCCTCCCCCTCTGAGAGGTCGTCTTCTCCTCAGACGGCGGATAAATGCATGACAAAGGTGCCCGGGAGGGCTCCGACCTGGGGTAGAGGAGATGGCTGGGGAGGGGCTCCTTCTCCAAAACCTGTCTCTCCACCCCCACCAGCCCCTTAATCTACTTGCCTTGGGGCACTTTGTGGCTGCAAGGGGGCACAGCCGCTGCACCTCTGACCCTGAGATCTTAAAACCTGCGGAAAGTACTGAAGCCCTTGAAGCTAGTCTGGGTCCCCAGGGACGAAGCACGTGGCAGGCGGGCAGTGTGATACACTTTCCAGACAGGAAGAAGGCAACAGGTGTGGAAGACTACCCAAGCAGACAGCTGGCCAGAGAGGGTTAGGAGGCCGCCCGCGGGATGGCTGCCAGGGCCACCGAGCGACCCCACCAACCACCCCAGACAGAGAGACCTAGAAGAGGAGGTGTGTCGGTGGCCACAGATCCTCAGCCTCAGCCAGGGGTTGGGCTCAGAGCCCAGCAGTGACCCGTCATAGCCCGGAGCTTTCCTTTAGGGCGCCTAGTAGACAGACAAACACCCAAGCAGACAGGCCATCCGAGGACTATTCTCTTGCAAACGCGTTCAGGCGCTAAGTCCCCAGCCTGAGCTCCCCGACAGCACGGACAGCCCAGACCCAGCAAAGCCGACAAGCAGGGGAAGCTTTAGAAGGTTTCTTGCGCCCCCTCCCCCAAATGGCTCTCTACACCTCCCTAGTAACTTTCCACCAGCCAGCCCCCCTAAACAAAGCCCCTGGGGGCGGGATGGAGGATGAGGAGGCTGGATATCTGACTCCCCCCACGGAAGAGGGAGTTGGAGACCTAGCTCCCAGTGGGGGGGCCCCTGGTGCTGTCTGAGGCTCTGGCTTTGAGAGGTGCTGGGGGTCAGCAGGAACCCTTTTTAGGCACTCTAGAGTGGGGAATCCGGGTGAGGGGATTGGGCCTGAGGTGGTGGGGGGCAGGAAGCTGTCCCCAGGGGAGCCATCCTGGCCCATTCAAGGGTTGAGTACTTGTTTAGGGTTAGAGCTGCCCCCTCTGGGGACCGGTATCGTCCAGGCAAGGCCATTGTCCTGCCCCTTTCCCCCCCACCCCTCAGTCCCTCCCAGGCCTCTTTGAACCTGAAAGTCTGGTATTTTTTTCCTCTTACATTCTCTGCTTGGTTTTCCCCACAGAGGCCTGGGGCTGGAGGCCTGGGCTGTGGAAGTGAGGGAGGGAAAAGTGGGAGCTTTGGGACCAGACGTGGGGGTCCCAAAGGAAGGAGTGAGAAGCCAGCGACCTGAGTGCAGATCTTGCAATGGGGGTCCCTTAAGCCCAGCAGGGGGTGGGTGCATGGGTGTCAGATCATTCAGTCTGTGCAACAGGTTGGAAAATTCTGGCCCAGTCCGTCTGCGGCCTACCTAGAAGGGTTAATGGGAGTGGATTGCTGAGCCTGGTAGATGAGGAGGAGCTGGACCCCAAGAATCAAGGCTGGCCATCAAAGTGAGTAGGTGGGTCCTGGGCCTTCCCCACTGACAGGATTTGGTCAAGATCTTGATGTGGAATGCAGTCTTTCCAAGAGGAGGAGGCAGCTGGCCTGTGAGCCCAGCTACTGTTAAGGAACTATGGGGGAGCCCAGAGGTACTTGAGATGTGCATGTTCAAGAAGGATCCAAGGCCAGTGGGCTCCAGTGAGTGGGCAGTGTCTGGGTATCTGGAAAAGAGAAATCAGGCACTGGGCCCATGAACAAAATGGGGCAGGTGGGAGAGGCGTCGCCGCCGAGGGCCGGATAGCCCGTCGGGAGCAAAAAGTAAAAATCTCCCAGGGCTCGGAGGAGACCCTAGTTTTCGCCTTAGACGCCGCAGCCACCAGGCAAACATTCTCGCCTCAGTTTCTCTCCCCCCTCCTCCACCCACCCAGGGGGCGGGGCCAGAGGTCAAGGCTAGTGGGTGGGGTTGCGGAGGGAGAGAGGTGTTGAGCTGTCCTGTGGAGAGCCCTCATTTCACCTGGCCCCCGGCTCGGGGCGCCCAGCTTCCCCATGGCGGGACACCTGTCTTCGGACTTCTCCTCGCCCCCTCCGGGGGATGGCGGCGATGGGCCGGGAGGGCCGGAGCCAGGCTGGGTGGACCCTCGAGCCTGGCTGAGCTTCCAAGGCCCTCCCGGTGGGCCCGCCATCGGGCCGGGAGTTGGGCCGGGGTCGGAGCTGTGGGGGCTTTCCGGGTGCCCCCCGCCGTACGACTTCTGCGGAGCCATGGCGCACTGCGCACCGCAGCTCGCCGTGGGCCTCGTGCCTCAAGGCGGCCTGGAGAGCTCTCAGCCGGAGGGCGAGGCAGGGGCCGGCGTGGGGAGCATCTCCGAGGGGACCTCCCCGGAGCCCGGCGCTGCCCCACCTGGTGCCGCCGTGAAGATCGAGAAGGAGAAAATGGAGCAAGCCCCTGAGGAGGTGAGTGAGCTGCGACGGACTTGGTGGGGCTTGGTGTGGGAAGGTGGCGCGGCTGGTGACCAGGGCGGGCAGTGATGGCCTGCTGCCGCCGAGGCCTGGGACCCTAGAGAGGGAGCGGGCAGGGGACTGCCCTGGGTAGAGAAAGTGTGTGGTGGCTGCAGGGAGGAATGGGGCACGGGGGCGGTCTAGAGGGACAGAACTGCAGCTGGTCGCAGGAGCCGGTCCGGGCCCGGCCCATGAGGTTCTCGGCTCCCGCTCTTCCTTGTCCTGCTCTAGGTCAGATGGCTCACCTACCTTTGGGTTTGTTGGAGCCCCTTCTTCCATTTTCACGTCGTTTCAAAGCTTTAGTCCTTGTCAGACTCAGCATCATGGCCTGAGGGCGAAGTATGGCCTGAGGATACAAACGGTGCTTATCCGGGGAGTAATTGTTCTTGAAAGTGCAGGGTGTGACTGGTTTCTGATAGCCACTACTTCTGTTTCTGATAACCTAGACTGTGTGGGCTTGGTTTACCTCCCTCAAGTTTAAGGTTGATCTGCTCTTCGACCTCAGCTTGAGGCCAATGTGTCTTCTTCGATGGGCTGGGCAGCCTGGCAGCCTCCTAAGGGGGAGCTGGAAGTTGCGATTTTGGTTGACTTCAGACTCAATTCCTTGAAGTTGCAAACCAGGAAAAAAAAGTGAAAGTTCTAAGGCCATTCCCCAGTGGGGAGTTGAAGGCCTCCAACCCTGCTTCCTAATTCAGCTTTTTCAGCGCTCCCAGGGACCAAGTGTGAGTGATTAGAGATTAAGGCCAGAGCCTGTGGCCTTCACCGAGGGTCTGAGTAGTTACAGGTAGGAGCAGGGCGGTTTGGCGCAGGGGGTGGCTGTTGAATGACCATGGCAGCCGGCCATGGTCCCTTGGCGAGCACCGGCTGTGTGAGGTCTACACATCTCATTCATTATCTCATTAAGTCTCCCAGGGCGCCGCTATTAGCTATTTCACAGGTTTTCACTGCTAGGTGATGGAGGTATGCTTTAAGCCAGAGTTTACCATTGTGGGAATTTGGAAAGACTGGGGAGAGGGCATGCCTAGGTTTGGCTGAGTCAGAGTTGGAAATGAAGACGATTCTGTTCCAGTTTGATAACAAGCGAGCCCAGTGGGAACACTGTCCTTAATGCTTTTTTGCTTGCTCCCCGCTGCTGCCCCTCAGGCCACTTGGCAAGCTCCACTGCATAGAAGTGTGCCCTGGGGCTCAGTCCTTCTACCTCTCTCTCCTTACCCTTCCCTGTCACCCACCCCACCCCAACCCCCCGAGGCGTAAATACTTAAACATTTAGACCTCAGTCACCGGGCCCATTTTCTGCCTCCCACCCAGCACGGCTCCCTGGATTGCCCCGCCCCACCTGTAGCTTAAGGCCAAAATCTCTTTCACCTGCTTTGTCCATCCTGGGGGAAGTTCTGCTATCTCCCTTCCCAACACATCCTAAATCAATCACAGGCATCCTCCTGGTCCCAGCCATCATCACCTAAGCATCTTACAGGCTGTTGCCAATACATCAAGTAGACCCCACTGTTTTAGTATATGAGTGACCATTTCGCCCCGTGGAATTCCCAAGGCTTCCGATTTCTCCCTGAGTAAGCCTGAGTGGTCACGCGGCATTCACGGGACCTGTGCAGCTGCCCTGCACTGCCCTGCCCTTGGCTGCAGCTGCCAGAGCCTTGGCACTTGACTCTTTGATATCACCCTCAATATCTTTATTGAACATTGTCACCCTTCTTACGATCTGCTGCTCTGCTCTACTCACTGTATCCTCCTTCCTGGTATTATTGCTGTTGTGTGGGATAATTATTGCACAGAACAAAGAGATGCAGTGTAAAAAAAAAAGAGTATAACAACTTTTTAAATCAGTTTTTCCATGAACATCATACACAAAGTACTTTTCAGTCACACTCTTAGTTCTGTTACTTCTGATGTGTGTTGACTTCTGTGTCTACGTGTCTTGATGCGATTTGTGGACCTTAGAACAAGCTGAGGGAAGTGTATGAATCTAGAATCAGGAACAGGAACATGGGACCTTTTCTTTCACTAGCCTCAGCTGGAGTGATACATGAGTCAAAGAAACTTCTCAGGGTATGAAGTGAATTGGCAGGAGGGAGCTCAGGGTGACTTTGCACCTTGCGTGATGTTCTGCATGTACTGGAGGCGCAAGTTTCTGGAAGAGCTTCCTTGCCTACCTCCCACCCCTGTCACATGCAGGAGGCATGCGAGAGCAGTGGGTGGGTGAATTACTTGGTAAATAACTTTTCTCGATGTTAGGTAGGCAGTCTGGGATAGTTCTCAAGGTTACAGTCAGTTACAGAGAGTGAGAGACATCTTCCATTGCTATTTCTTTCTCTAAACAGCCACAATGGCCAGGCAGGAGCTATCCGTGTCTCCAGTGTTTGTAACCAGGTCATTCTAGTCTGCTTTCCCAGGAGGAGGCTGGTAAATCAGAAGGTGAACAGCCAGGGCTAGAACTGGTGTGTCACAGATGGTGGCTTTCCCTGTACCACACCACAGTGCCACCCCCACAGGCCGCCTTTTAAATATAATTATTATTGGAAAGGCGGAGATACAGGAAGATTTTCCATCTGCTGATTCACTCCCCAGGTGGCCACAATGGCCAGAGCTGAGCTAATACAAAGCAAGGAGCTTCTTTTGGGTCTTCCACATGGGTACAGGCCCCAAGACCCTGGGCTTTCTCAGGCCACTAGCCAGGAAGCTGGAAGGGAAGTGGAGTAGCAGCCTGGATATACACCAGGCCCCACAGTCTTTTTTTTTTTTTTTTTTCTTTATCTTTTTATTGGAAAGTCAGATATACAGAGAGGAAGATCTTCTACCTGATGGTTCACTCCCCAGATGGCCACTATAGCTGGAGCTGAGCCAATCCAAAGCCAGGAGCCAGGAGTTCTTCCAGGTCTCCCACGCTGGTGCAGGGTCCCAAGGCTTTGGGCCTTTCCTCAACTGCTTTCCCATGCCACAAGAAGGGAGCTGGAAGGGAAGCAGGTTGGCCGGGATTAGAACCGGCACCCATAAGGGATCCCAGTGTGCTCAAGGCGAGGACTTTAACCATTACGCTATCGTGCCAGGTCCCACAGTCAAGATTTTTGAGCCCTAACTAGAAAGAGGAGGTTCGCTCTCACACATTCTCTGCCTTTTCTTCCTGCAGTCCCAGGACATCAAAGCTCTCCAGAAAGAACTGGAACAGTTTGCCAAGCTTCTGAAGCAGAAAAGGATCACTTTGGGATATACCCAGGCCGACGTAGGGCTCACCCTTGGAGTTCTCTTTGGTGGGTGCTCACCCTATAGGGGCCACATCTCCCCTGGGAGGAACATTTGTTTAACTAGGGGATTGAGGGGAGGGTATTTCTAAGGCAGGCTCCACTTGCCTGGGCCTTGAGCCCTTCTGGAGAGGGGAGCCTGGTTAGGGTTTGGGGTGGGAAGAGGCAGCTAGACCTGGTCCCAAGGGCCTACCTGCTCCTTCATGGTACTTCTACCCGGCCTCCCCCAGGAAAGGTGTTCAGCCAAACGACCATCTGCCGATTTGAGGCTCTGCAGCTCAGCTTCAAGAACATGTGTAAGCTGCGGCCCCTGCTGCAGAAGTGGGTGGAGGAAGCTGACAACAACGAGAACCTTCAGGAGGTAAGGGAGGGGGTAAGGAGCTCTGTGACCTGCGGGCAGCCCTCCAGGGAAGCCCTTCCCAGAACCTGGCTCTGGTGACACATCCAGTCTGTGCCCCCTTACTTAGCAGCTTGCTGTCACATCCCTGACCCCTCAGTGTGCTGTTGGTCAGCAGGTGCCAAGCCTGTTGTCATTCTTTTCCCACTGCCCAGATTTGCAAAGCTGAGACCCTGGTACAGGCTCGGAAGAGAAAGCGAACTAGTATCGAGAACCGAGTGAGAGGCAACTTGGAGAGCATGTTCCTGCAGTGCCCGAAACCCTCGCTGCAGCAGATCAGCCACATCGCCCAGCAGCTGGGGCTTGAGAAGGATGTAAGTGCCCTACTGTTCCCTCACCACCATACAGCTCTCCCTGTCGCCCACATTCCTTCTCCTGGCTTGCTGACTGCTTGAGGCTGTTTTGTTTTCGTTGGCTTTGGGTGAGTAACGCTGCACAGCCTGGTGGCTCCCTCTTCCAGAGCTTACAGGGTAATGTCACTCCCCCCCTTCCCAGGTGGTCCGAGTGTGGTTCTGTAACCGACGCCAGAAGGGCAAGCGATCAAGCAGTGACTGTTCCCAACGAGAGGAGTATGACGCCGCTGGATCTCCCTTCCCAGGGGCACCTATCTCTTTTCCTCTGGCTCCGGGGCCCCACTTTGGTACCCCAGGCTATGGCAGCCCTCACTTCACCACGCTGTACCCCTCGGTTCCTTTTCCTGATGGGGAAGCCTTCCCTGCAGTGTCAGTTGCTGCTCTGGGCTCTCCCATGCATTCAAACTAAGCTGCCTGCCCTTCTCTCCCAGGAATGGGGTGGGCAGAGGTCAGAGGAGATGCTAGGGAAAGAGCACCTGGAGTCTGCAGCTGGGGCTTTGGGGATCCAAAGTTCTTCATTCACTAAGGCAGGAATTGGAAACGTGGAGGGTGGGGTAAGGAGTTTTCAGGGGGAAACTGGTTTGAGGGAAGGTGAAATTCAATGATGCTCTTGATTTTAATCCCCACATCACTTTGATTTTAAATAAAGAAGCCTGAGACACTAAGCATTTTTTTAGTCCTCCTTTATGAACCAGTGGGAGTTAGGGATACCCAGTAATAGGGACCCCCTGCTGTCGGGCTCCTGAGCCCAAGGCACCACTAAAGCTGTTTGAAGTAACTGATAACCAGTTGGGATTAGAGCTTGTGGAGAGCCCTCACAGGCCTGGGCTGGTTCCTCGGGAGCCTGTTCGTGGGTGACTGGAGAAGATGTAAGCCAAATCCCATCCATCCTTATGCTTACAGAGGCAGTCACCATGTTCTTCAGAATCCTAAAAAATTATCCAGATGGTATCAACCATCTGCTTTCTTAGCATTAACAAGGAGGTAGAGCTGAAGTCGAGCAACGGGAACTCAGAGACAGTAGTTGTATCTGAGATGTCAGTACCACAAGCCACAGCATAAAGCCTGCTGTGCCATACCAGCCCCACTTTGTTTTTCTTGGCAGCAGGGTCCACCTAGTTTCTTTCCACTTAAAGTTTTAACACACCCTATCCGTAAGTGACTCACTGCCACTAGCTAATGAGGGGCCTTTGCTGTTGGGGGAAAAACTGTCAAGCAAGAAGCTGACAGCCAGATTGTAGTTGCATAGAAGTGATGCTTTGTCTTAGCTCTAGAATGTTCTGTGTACCAGCTGGGGTTAGAAGGTTGTTCCTTACAGCTGGTTTATAGGTTTTCTTTCAGGGATTGGGGGAGCGTAGGTGAAGCCTGTGAAAGTTTAAGAATCTTCTAAGAAATGTAAGAATAACCACCAGGGGGAGTGGAGCTGTTTGTGCTTTATTTAGAAATACAAGCGAAGCTCTGTAAAGCCAGGTTGGTGGTGGCAGCAGGACCAGCCACAGTGCAAAAAGTTAATGAGCCTGCCCCTATGTTTTCCCAAGACGCTTTTGGAGACACCATTCAATTACATTAACAACCAACCCTGTCTCCCACAGCTTCCCAGGCCTGGTTTCTGCACTTGATGTGTCACTCTGATCATGTTTTCTGTTGCCCATGGTCATAGGGCTATACAGCTCCTAACAGAATGTCCAGGTCACTGGCAACTTCCTGGAGGCAGCAAGGTCTCTGACACAGCACAGTATCTAATGTCACCTTGGCCACAAGGCCCTGAATTGACATAGCCATTAGCCATTAACCACCTCCCTGCAGTCACTCCCTGCTAAAGGAAGAACAGCAGTATCTCTTGGGACCCAATTTGCATCCACTGTGTCCACTCCTGACCTGGCAGAGCCAGCTGTGTGTCCTCCAGTGTCCTGCCAGTGGTCCTTAGGTCTGGATGCCAGCACAGCACCTCGGGCACCGAAAGTCGGCCTCCACGGCAGCTTGGATGCTGCAGCCCACGCAGGTCACGTGGAACCAGATGTCACAGCTGTCACACTGGACCCAGGCCACTGTGTCTTCCTGGGGCAGGCTGCAACAAGGGGCTGCACAGGGCTCCTTGCCCCTGCCAGTAGGGGGCAACATGGGAGCAGGTACTGGATGCTTCCGGGGACGACCTCTGCGATTTCTGAAGGAAGTGACAAAAAAAAAAAAAAACAGGAATCACGGAGAAAAGGAAACCTCTGGGAGAAGTTTAAGACTTTGCCCTAGGATGAACCTGTGGGGGGTTCCCTAGACCAGTACAGACCCAATCACCTAGTGGTGAGCCTGTAAGTTCACTCTGAGGGTGCACCCTCAGGCACTGGGAGTTGGGGCTAAGGTCATCTGAATGCCAGTAGGAATACCCAGTATGCCAACAGCCCAGTACCCCCACCCCAACTAAGCCTCTGCTCTGGCTACTCCAGCTCTGTTCTTTCTGCAGTCATAGGAGTGGGACATCCCCCACCCCATCTTACCCACTGGGTGTCAGTGGGGCTTTCTCCACGCACAGTTTCTTCCTGGGCTCCAGGAACACAGGCAGGAGATTGTCAGGAGCATCCTCTTCGTCATCCAGTTCTGCCAGAACCCGGTGAGCTGACTTCCTCCGGTTTCTCGGGGGTGGAGCGGAGGGGGTGGCCCCTCCAGGTGGGGTGGCAGCAGGCTGGTTCTGCAGCCCACCGCCACCCCGGGAAAAGGTGAGGGGCTGTGGCCGAAGCTTGCTGAGGCTGCCAATGGAGTTGAGGATGAGTGTGGCCTTGGGGGTAGGGGACAGGGAGCTGAGGGGCCGCTGTGGGGCTCCCTGCGAGGGCAGCATCGGCCGGAAACCGGCTCCAGCCCCTGCCTCACCCCTAGACCTGGGGATGGTAATGGCAGCAAAGTCCTGAGGTTTGACCCGGACTTGTTGGAACATGAAGTAGAACTCCGAAGGGCCGGTTCCAGGTGCCCCTTCAGGGCCGAAGGTCAGGAGGTCACCGTCACTCAGCTCCAGCCTGTGGCCCCTGGGAAGTCGGACATTATTGACCAAAGTCCCTGTGGATGGTGGGGGGGCAGACAGGAAGAAACACGCACATGAGTGCCCAAGAGGACAGGGTTTGGTTTTCAGGGAACATGGCGAAGAACACGACTCCCGACAGCAGACGCCCCCTCATTCTCCACCCCTCTTAGCCTCTGAGCACCTTATTTTCCTGGGCTGTAAGGCTGGGGGTTTGTCCCAGCCACCCTCCTGCAGTGCACTTCAAACAGGGCCTGCCTCATTCACAGTGTGCACTACTTGAACTCAGCCACTCTATAATCCCCTCTTTCCCCAAGGGCAACTTCCCCGACCCTTGTATTTTATTTGAGTGTAGTGACAGGCCTGAGGTTTTGCCAGCACCCAGGGGTGAAGCTCCCAGGGCCATCTGGGACTCCACTGCTGATTTAAGAGGAAAATAGAATCACGGGTCCTTAAAGTACACAGGGGCCTCAGAATATCCCCACCGCACCTCTCCCATGATGCCTTAGGCCCCAGGTTTCCAGCTGGTTCTGTCTGAACTAAATTGGATGTGGGCTGGGCCCTTTGCTCTGTCCAGCCTGGAAGGGCCAGGGCCAAGGCTGCCTTGCTGGGAGCTCACCATGGCTGCTGTGGTCCTCCAGGCTGACCCTCCAGTCCTCGCCCTGGCGATCGGCATGCAGCTCGGCATGCACTCCCGAGATGAGGCCGGGCTCCTGTTGGGGCCGCAGGACCACATCGCAAAGGTCAGCCCTGCGGCCCAGGCGGTAGGTGCAGCCGGCGCCTGTGGGAGGGTGGAAGGTGTAGAGATCCCCGCCGTGGCCGCCCCCGATGCGCAGCAGTTGGAAGCAGGGCAGCATGGGCAGCGCCCCTTCCGCACCGCTTGTCCCCTTCAGCAATCCATCGCGGTGCCCCTGCCTGGAGCGGGTGCCAAGGCCGGAATCTCGCTTCAACTTTGGGCACTTCTTGGGGAGTGCAAGTTCAGTGTGTAGGCAGCCTGGCCACGCAAGGTCAAGTGAGGCAGATTCGCAGCAGAAAAACCCAGGAAGGACACGGTGCAACGGGAAAACAGAAACGCGTCCTCTCCTCTGGCTTCTTGGTTGAGCTGGGCTCTCTGACCGCCTAGAGCCTCCCACCTGTGCAAGGCGAAGGGAATATTAGGCAATTTCTCGGGAAAATGCAAACTGGAGGTGTGGGTGGGTGGCCTCAGTGTAATTCTAAGTTTCCGTCAAACCTGCTTACCCGAAAACAACACCCCTCTGTCGCCTGCTATCCCACTCCTAACCCCTCAGAATTTAGCTTGCATCCCGGGGAGCAGTTCCACCCACATCCCTAAATAGCGTTGCAAACAGCTCCCTGGTATCCCCAGCAAGCAGGTGAAACCCATGCTCCCTAGCTTCCTCGGGTTGAGTTCCTGGCGGTCGCGCAAATGAACGCCCTCCCGGCCCCAGCCCCGTTTCGGGTCTACCCGCGCGATGCAGCCTTGCAGTGGTGGTCTCTCGGGCGACGCCAGCCCGAGCAGCTGCCCTGGTCGTCCCGGGCTCCAGGCGCGCCTGTTTGACAGCCGGGCAGCCGAGGCCGGGAGGGGCGCGGCCTGAGCGCGCGGGCAGCGCAGACCCCTCCTTCGGAATTCCCGGGTCCGAACTTCGCGCCCAGAGAGCCCGCCCCTTGGATTGCTCCTGATTGGCCAGTTCTGCACCTCTCTTGCTTTCCATTGGGCCGCGCGCTGGGCGGGTCCCCGATCTCCCGCCTTCCGCTTTTTCTGATTAGCTCGAAGGTTTTCCCGGGTTCCCGAAGTGGGGCGGGGCAGCCAGGGCGCGCAGCTGCTAGGACGCTTTAATTGGGCTGGTCCTGAGAGGGCACTGCGCCTGCGTGTGTTGTCGCCCGCTCTCCTTCCCGGACGCATCAGGGCTTTCCAAGCGGCCCGCCAAGCCGCCCGCCCGGCGCAGGCGTAGTCGGGGGCGGGCCGGGCGGGGGGCGAGGTGTGGGTGTGGTCCGGGGCAGAGGGGGCGTTCTCGCGCCGGGTAAGGGGCGTTCGGGAAGAGTCGGTTGGGGGCGGGAATGGGCAGAGTGGGGGTGCAGGGGACCATAGTGGGGAAGAAGGGCACAGGGGCTGGGTGAAGGAACGGTTGAAGTGGTCTGGGCGGCCTTGGAGCTCAGGGTCCAGCAGGGGTGGGGGTGTAACCGGGAGAGGGGGAGAGAGCAGATACGGGCTGGGGTAACTGGGAGGGAGGCGGGAGCTGGCTGGGACAGGAGCGTGATGGGGATGGACCAGAGTGATTCCTTTAGGAAAACGCACTAGGAGGCAGGAAGGGAATCCCAGATTTGGGCACAAATAGGTGTGAATTCAGGTGTTGGGGGGGGGGGTAAGCTGGTTAAAGGCCAATTCAGCTCCAGGAGCCCAGAGAAAAAAGTCAACAGGAATGGACAGCGCCCAGGGGGTGGGCTAGAAGGCAGTTGCAGGAAGAATTTGGCTCTTCTGCCGGGGCATTTAGGTCATCTGCACTCCTAGGGGCCCTGGGGAGGTGCCTAGCCCTCCATGTGGCCATACGCCTCGGCCAGGCCTTGGGCCAGCACTTTGAAAGGAAAGGCCTGGTGGAGAGGCATGGCCTGGTGGTGTCTGGATGGGCTGCCCCAAGGCCTGGCCGAGCCGTGGAGAGAACTCTGGAGACTGAGCTCTGGGCCTGTGCACTGTGTACCCACTGCATCCTCTCCAGCCAGGAGCAGCAGGGACAGTAGGAACCTGAAGAGGGTAAAGACTCTGCTGCCCGGAGCCTCAGGCCTGACTGAAACCCCATAGTGCCCTCTCATCCTGTCTCTGTACCCTTTCTCCACCTCATGGTTGTTGCCAGGAACTGCATTAGGCCAAGCGGACAGCTTTGAGGGTGGTGGGGTGGGGATAATCTTTCTCTGAGAGAAGTCAGCCAGGAGGAGCTGGCTGTAACTTCGGGATTATGACTTTGCTGTTGTAGGGGCTTTCTCTTTGGAAGGTGACCTGAACACTGAACTGGAGTGTCCTTGTTTCTCCTATTGTCCAGGGGAATGTAGATGGCTGGAGACAGAATCTAGAATCTGCAAGTCCCATGGATATGTTCCAGCCTTCAGGTCAGCAGGGCCTCAGGGGCCAGGGGCTGGCGCCCACCTTCACTGCTACCTGGAAAGCTGACCGGCTGTGCTCTTGTTCCTCAGGTCTCTCTGGCTTGATCCCTCCCTCCCACTTCCAAACCCGGCCCATATCCACCCGGTCGAGGATGGCCCCCACCTGGGCTTCAGACAACCCCCTTGTCCAGGCCCCCCCAGACGTGTCACAGAGGCGGCTGGAAGCCCACCGACACCAAGTGGCCATGTGGGATCGGGATGTTTGCGGCGATGGACAGGAGCCAGGGCAGAGAGGCAGGTAGGGGCTCCTGGTCACCTCATTCTCAGACATGATTCTTGTGAGCTTTCTTCACTGAAGCGGATTCCATACCTTATTGCTGCTTCTGATTCCAGACTTGTTCATTTGTACATGAGCAACGATTGTTACCCACAATGCATAAATAATAATGCAGCATATCAGACCTGAGCATGGGGCAAAGGAAAAGGAACAAGAGAGATCCTGACCTAAACTTGATCATGTTTTGTAAAAAGGTATTCATTTATTTGCAATGCAGAGGCAGAGAGCTTCCATCCGCTGTTCATGCCAATGCCCACAGCACAGGCAGGGCTGAGGCAGGTCAAAGCCAGGAGCCTAAAACTCAACCTGGGTCTCCCACATGGGTACTAGTTTGTACTGGATCATTCTACCACCACTGCTGTCAGCCATTGAGTGGGAACACATCATAAAGGAGGGACCGTGATGAGGAAGGGAGCAGGCCAGTGTCAGAAGGCAGACTCAGGCCAGTGTGATGGCTCAATTGTCTAATTCTCTACTTGAAAACTCTGAGATCCCATATGGGCACCAGTTCATGTTTCAGCTGCACCATTTCTCATCTAGCTCCCAGCTTGTGCCCTGGGAAAGCAGTGGAGGACGGCCCAAAGCCTTGGCACTCTACATCTATGTGGGAGACCCAGAGGAAGCTTCTGGCTCCTGGCTTCAGATTGGCTCAGCTCTGGTCGTTGTGGCCATTTGGGCAGTGAACCAGTAGATGGAAGATATTTCTCTCTGTAAATCTGACTTTCCAATAAAAATGAATTAAAAAAAACTTTCTATTACCTAGGAGATCTTGTGCAAGTCTTCCCATTTCCCTAACCTACAGATCACTACTCTTTACTTATTTTGAAGATTTATTTATTTGACAGGCAGAATGACATGTGAGAAAGATGCTATCTATCTACTGGTTTACTTCTCAGTTGGCCAAAACAGCGAGAGGTGGGCCAGGCAGAAGCTGGGAGCTACAAACTGCACCTGGGTCTCCCACATGGGTGGCAGAGGCCCAAGCACTGACCACTTCTACCAGGCAAGTTAAACAAGGAACTGGAGTGAAAACAGAACAGCCAGGATTTGAACCAGTACTCTGATAAGAGGATGCAATTGTTGCAAGTGGCAACTTAACACCCTGAGCCACCATGCTTTCCCCAGATCCCTGCTATTTAAAAAGGAAAAAGAAAAAAAGAAAGTCTTGTGGTTTGGGCTTGTGTGACTCATGTTCCAAGTTGGTTTGAGCTTTTGTGACCCCTATAGACTAGGTGAGGAGAATGTATAATTCCAAAATCTTTTTGCTACAACGTAAACTTTTTTTTAAAAGATTTATTTTATTTTTATTGGAAAGTTAGATATACAGAGAGCAGGAGAGACAGAGAGGAAGATCTTCCGTCCAAAGATTCACTCCCCAAGTGACCTCAACGGCTGGTGCTGTGCCAATCCGAAGCTAGGATCCAGAAACCTCCTCCTGGTCTCCCACACACAGGTGCAGGGTCCCAAGGCTTTGGGCCGTCCTAAACTGCTTTCCCAGGCCACAAGCAGGGAGCTGGATGGGAAGTGGGGTTGCCGGGAATAGAACCGGCGTCCATATGGGATACCGGCACATTCAAGGCAAGGACATTAGCTGCTAGGCCACACCGCCGGGCCCACAACATAAACTTTTTTTTTTTTTTTAAGATTTATTTACTTTTATTGGAAAGGTGGATATACAGAGAGGAGGAGAGACAGAAAGGAAGATCTGCCACCCGATGATTCACTCTGCAAGTGTCCGTAACAGCTGGTGCTGCGCTGATCCGAAGCCAGGAGCCAGGAACTTCTTTCCGGGTCTCCCATGTGGGTGCAGGGTCCCAAGGCTTTGGGCCATCCTCCACTGCTTTCCCAGGCCACAAGCAGGGAGCTGGATGGGAAGCGGGGCCACCAGGATTAGAACAGGCATCTATATGGGATCCCGGTGTGTGCAAGGCGAGGACTTTAACCATTACACTATTGCACCGGGCCCACACAACATAAACTTTTAATTCCATTTTTTTCATGAACGTTTTGAGATTTCCTACTGCTATCCAAAGATTTGGACTATACTGTGTACTGACATACTACCTTCTAGACCCTCCTGCAGCTCTTGTCAGTAAACGCCGTTAGTGCCAGCCTTGCCATGTAAAGACTGGAAGAAGCTTCCTGCTTTCTACCCCTGTATTTGCCTCCCACTTTTCCTTTCCTTTCAGTAGGATTCCAGAGTCTCTGAGTTTTTCTAGCCTCTGCCCACAGAACCCCCTGGCCGCAGGATGTGCACATTGGCTATTGACTGCATCAGCCTGTATATACATGCCAGTGGTGTTTAGGTCCCCGAGCCAGCTGGAACCTGCTAGGCCAGGTGGGGCCTGGATGAGTGATAATGGCTGTGCTATGAACTTGGAGGGCTTCATGCCCCAAGCTCCATCCCCCACCTCCCTTGGCAGAAGCAGGTAGTCCTCTTCCTCCTGACCCCATATGTGCCTTGGGCTACCTTCCCAGCCCCAAAGACGCATCTCACCTGCACCAACTTATCTTTGAAGGTCGCTGGAACTGGGAGGGTCACAGGCCCTGAGCCAGCAAGCTGAGCTGATCTCTCGGCAGCTGCAAGACCTGCGGCGGCTGGAGGAGGAGGTCCGGGTCCTGCGGGAGACCTCGCTGCAGCAGAAGATGAGGCTGGAAGCCCAGGCCATGGAGCTGGAGGCGCTGGCTCGGGCCGAGAAGGCCGGTCGGGCGGAGGCTGAGGGCCTGCGCGCGGCCTTGGCTGGGGCAGAGGTCATCCGGAAGAACCTGGAAGAGGGAAGCCAGCGGGAACTGGAGGAGGTTCAGAGGCTGCACCAAGAGCAGGTGATCCTGGAGGCGGAGAGGGGCCAGGGTCCTGGCAGGGTCACAGGGCAGTAGCTCTCTGGCGAAGGGCAGGTGTTAAAGAGACCCCCA